TCAAGGAGACTCACCACCAGCTGGCAGCGATCCTGGGCAGCGTTCTCAAGAAGGAGGCAGCCGCGCCGAAGACCGGCTCCGCTCCGAGAGGCGCGCTGGAGAGATAACTGGGCAGGATGCTGGACTAACAGAGCAGGCCGCGAGTGAGCAGACGGGAGTAGTGCCAGGGCCTCAGTGAATGAGACACCGAGCTTAGACGCGCGCCAGTGTTGATCATCCTCGGACGAAAACAGTGTTCGAATCGAGAGGGTTAAATTCGGAGAAAACCCAAGGACGATCCCCCGAGTTTTTGAGGCCAGCGCTAGGTTCCGAGAGTTAGTACAGAGCGGCAGATTCAGAACGCCTGCCCAGGACACGCCAAAAGTTTCCAGATCTCAAGGGCGGAGTTTTCCCGACTACTTCCTGGTGCACCGTCCTCCTCCACCCCCTGAAGCGCCCCCCAAAAGAAAGGAAATCGAGACGGGGGCGAACCCAGGGCAAAGGCCGAGGGAAGCAGGCGAGGGAGCTTCCGTGAGGGCTGGTGCCACCCCGCCCGCAAGCCCCCTGCGTGGGGGAGAGACGGTGCGGGAAGGGCTCGAACGTCCCCTGGCGTCAGTTCCCCCAGTCCTAAGTGACAGCAGCCAGGCTGAGCAGATTCGAAGCCTCACAGCATAGCTCCAGTCGGCGTCACCTCGAACTCGGCCCCAAGGATCGATCGATCGATCCTCCTCCTCCTCCTCCTCCTCCTGCTCCTTCTCCTTATCCTCCTCCTCCTCCTCCTCCTCCTCCTCCATCTCCTCCTCCCCCATCTCCTCCATCTCCTCCTCCTTCTCCTCCTCCACCTCCCCCTTCTCCTCGGGTCGCCTACGGCCCCGGGGGAAACCGTGCACGGGGGCCAGAGCGCGACGTTGGGTGGCGAGTTGAGAACAGTGCGGCAGGTTCGCGTCGTGTCGACCGGCGGCGACCCAGCCGCCGACCTTCGGCCTTCAACGTGGCACGCCGCTTGCGACCCAGTGTCGGTCGATGTTGAAAGGTCTGACGTTTCGAGGTCGATGTTGAAATATCGGACGCTTCGGAAACGGCAGATGCAGAGGAGGAGGAGGAGGAGGAGGAGGAGGAGGAGGAGGAAATATTACACGATCCCCGCGGTGTCAGAAGCCAGCGCCAGAGTTGGCACGCCACGAGCCTGCCGTGTAGGTGGCCTTCTGGGGGGATCCCCTCGTCACCATGGCCGGACGCAGCGCAGACAGCTGGTGCACGTGAGCCCATCTTGACCGACACCCCCCAACCGCAATCACCCTGACAAGGGTTCTGATGGTCGCCCCATCCTTAAAGATGGGTTCTAGGTGCCCTCAAAGCCTATTGCGTACCTGGCAGTCCTTTTCCTCCTCTTTCCTCCTCCTCCCCCCTCCTCCTCCTCTTTCTCCTCCTCCTCCTTCTGGGAGGGGTCCAGGGGCCGTTCTCGATCTGCACCGCCCAGACATACGGTAATACTACGGGCGCGTCGGCCCCGCCTAGGGCGACGCGCACGCCAGGAGTTCTTGCAGCGGAGGCTCCGTGGTGGGCGCTTTCAGGCCATACCGCTCGGGCATCGGTGTGCTATTGGTAGACAGAGGAGGAGGAGGAGGAGGAGGAGGAGGAGGAGGAGGAGGAGGAGGAGGAGGAGGAGGAGGAGGACGAGGTTTGCTACGTGTTCGTGTCGGACGTGCGCCTCCAAACATCATCACATCGCATTCGTCGGAGAAAAACAAACAGCATAAACACAAACTTTCGACGCTCCGCGCGGATCTCTTGGATCGGCGCATGGGCCCCCCCGGCGGCGCCTCCGGCGCCGCCCCTGGCGCGCTCCGCGCTCCAGGGAGGGGGGGTCCAGCGCAGATCCAAGAAATCCGCGTGTCTACGAATAGCACACCGATGCCCTTTTTCTATTTCCTGCTTTGATTTCCGTGTCCCACGGAAGCTGCCGGTGTCTCGGCTCGCCCTGCTCCGAGAGAGGCCTGGGTCGCTGCGGTCCGCGCCCTCTTGTGACCTCTCGTCATGGGCAGATTGGCCACCCCCGCTACCATATGCAGGACGGGGGAGAAGGGAGGATGAGGAGGTCCTCCTCCTCCTCCTCCTCCTCCTCCTCCGCCTCCTCCTCCTCCCTCTCCTACCGATGGTAGTGGTGGTGGAGCATGGGCCCATCATCTCGCGCGGCCGGGCCGAGGCCAGAACCGGACCTCCGTGCCCCACGTGGTCGTCGACCTCGGGCTGGACCCCGACGGAGGCGAATTCCAGGCCGAGGGGGACGGGGAGGCTCGGGGCTGGCGTTGATCATGGCGATCTCGTGGGCGTTTTTTTTTTTCGTTTTGGCTTGTCGTCTCGCAGGAGAGGAGGCAGAACGAAGGCAGACTGGAGGAGCACGAAGCCAAAACGAAAGCAACAAGAACACGAGCACAAAACGAAGGAGCACGAAAACAAGCAAGGAGCACGAAGTGCTTGGCTCGAACCATGACGAGGATGAGTGTGTCTCTGGTTCGGCGTGGGGGGCGAGCTTCCGGCCAAGAGGTGTCTCTTGTGGGCTAGCCTTGTGCTGCCTGTACACCATCCAGGAGCTGCCACTCGTCCTGGCAGGCTGTTCTGTTGCCTGCTCGGCAATCCGCTCGATCGCCACCCTCACGCAATGGGCACCCGTGTTCCCCCAGTGGCTTGCCTGAGAACAGAAGGGGGATGATGAGAACGGGGAAAGGAGGCACCAGCTGAGCTGGAGGCCACGGGGTGCAGACCAGGGGCTGCGTGCGGTAGAGTGGGGCTGCTGCCGCCGCCTCTGCTTGGCGCGGCGCGTCCCCCATGGGATGAGCAAGCGGAGGGCAGAGGCGTAGGGTGGAGACGTCATAAGGAGGTGGAGGAGGATGATGAGGAGGAGGATGAGGAGGAGGAGGAGGAGGAACAAGAGCTGGGGTAGGAGTAGAAGTAGGAGTAGGATCAGGAGTAGAAGTAGGAAAAAGAGAAGGAGTAGGAGGAGGAGAAGGAGAAGGAAGAGGAGGAGGAAGAGGAGGAGGAGCAGGAGGATGAGGAAGGTGAGGGAGGTTGGGAGGGAGGCAGGAGGAGGAGGAGGAGGAGCAGGAGGAGGAAGAGAGGAATGCAAAGATGTGGAGGCAGGGCAAGGGGAAAGGGGAAGAGCAGGCGGAAGAGGGAGATGAAGAGGAAGGGGTCAGAGAGGCCAGAGGCAGAGGAATTGAGGGAGAGGGTGAGAACGAGCGAGGGGAGATGGAAGAGTCGACGATGACGACGACGACCACGACGACGACGACGACGACGACGAGGACGACGACGACGACCACGACGACGAGGACCACGACGACGAGGACGACGAGGACGACGACAACGACAACGACGACGACGACGACAGCGACGACACTCCCTGGCTCGCGCTCTGGCGACATGTGCGGTAGGTATTCAGGACCTGTGCACTGTTCTTGAAGCCTTGGCTGTCCTTCGAATGACTTGCATGCGCAGTCACCCGCAGTCGAGCCTGGGGTGCTTCCTGCACTTGCCGCACCCCGGGTCGATGGTCCACCTCACCGCTCCCGCGTGCTGCCCGTGCAAGCCTGTGCTCAGGGCACCCGCGTGCACGACCTCCACGGTCGGAGCGCGCTCCGCCGCCCGCGAGTTCCTCTCCCCCCTCCCGCGCCTCTCCTGCTCCGGTTGGGCCGAACTTGGCCCCGAGGCGTGCCTCGGCTGCCCCGACCGCGTCTTGGACCCGCGTCGCCGCCGACAAGGGCTGTTCGTCGTCCCCCCCACACCGCAGCGCCCCAGTGGCCGGCCATGGCTCGCGACGTGGCCTCGGCTGACTGGGGTTTCGCGTTGACCCGGGTCCGCGCTTGCCCGACAGCTCTGCAAGAATCAAGGGCAATCATCGAGAGCAAAAGAACCCCTAGCCCTGAGAACACGATGAAGACGTGGCCTCACTGAGGTCCCCGTCTACGCACTAGCGATCATAAGTTCTGGCGGTTTGGTTCGGCAGAAAAAAAGACCCCCTCTCCCTACTGCTTTTGGCCCTCCTACCTTAGGTCCCCTCCCGAAGGACTAGGGCTGTTTTTTGGTTCATCACCCTGGAAGAATCAAGGGCAGGGAGGGCACGAGTGGTCCGACACATGCTCCGGCCTCCTCGCGGCGCGGCGCCAGATCTTGCTCCTGCCGGGACGTCGCCCGGGTTTCGCTAGAAGTGCCCCTGGCCCAAGGTGCCCCCAGGAGTTCCAGGGAGGCCCCCACGGCATTTCCCGAGCACCCCTCACGAGACTTCAGAGGGCCCCAGGGGCTCCAAAAAATCGTGCGGAAAGCTGGGGGCGCCTTGGGCCAGGGGCACCTTTAGCAGCTCCCGAGGCGAAGGGGGGCGGGGCCGGCTCCTAAGGGGGAAGCATCGGCCCTCAATCTCGCCCAGTCCTCTACGGGAGGAGTTTTCAAAAGGAGGAATCTTCGAAATAGTAAAAAATAGTTTCGGGACGATTTTTCTAGTATTTTTGCTCCTTTAGGCGCATGTCTTGATTATTTCCCATTCTTCATCCCAAAATCCGCCTGTAGGAGGACGTGCCCGACCTGAGGGAAGCATCGGCCCCCGATCTCGCCCAGTCCTTGCAGAGGCAGGCCTGAGTGCCCCCACCTGCCCCGGAGCGTGGGGCTTCCCCCTCGGGAGCCCGTCGCCGATGCATCGGCGGGTGTCGTCGATTCCAGGTCACTGTGTGCCTCCCTGAGAGAGGGCCCCCTTTCCCAGACCTCCTCGCGTTGGGAACAAATCGCGACGGGAGGTTTTCCGCTATTTTCGGCCTCCGGGGGCCCTCGCCGGGCCGCGGGACCGTCAAGAAACGGCTCAGGATGAAAAGCCGGTCCCGGGGAAGGGGTCCAGACCTTTGGGGTCGACGCTGTGGAAAAATCACGACGTCGGGCGTCTGGCTTCGCCTCCCCTCAGCTCCCCCTTTCTTCTTTTGCTCGACTCCCTCGTTGGCTTTCACTCCATCCCGTCCCCCGTCTCCATCCACCGCAGTTTTGGCCCAAGCCAGCGCCCTCGCCATCAACTCCACGGGCTCGCGTGCGTTCCTCGGCAGGCGACCATGGCGGACCAGATCAAGCAGATGCAGAGGAGCGATCTCGCCTCCTCCTCGGCTTCCTCCTCCTCGTCCTCCTTCTCCTCCTCCTCCTGGTCCTCCTCCTCTCCTCTCGCTTCCTGTTTTTAAACCCAGCAGTGCTTGCATTTCGAGGTTCCTATTTTTGTTTCTTGAGAACTTGGGCGGGCTGGTTCGCCGAGGGTTTTCCGCGTTGCCGCCTCGCTGGCGCCCGTGAGCGCCCCGCTGGGTGGGTTTGCCGAGGTTGCGCCACGTTGCCGCGCGTGCCACCTCGTGGGCTCTCGTGGGCTCCCCGTGTGCTGACTTTACACCACGTGGCTTGCCCAGCATAACTGACACGACCCGGTGTACCACCACATAGCTTACATCGCATCTCACTTACACAACGTAGGTTTCACATCTTAGCTTACACCACATAGCTTCACCGCCAACGTACACTGCATAAGGTTCCACGACGTAGCTTATGCCAAATAGCTCACACGGTATACCGTTCATCTCCAGAGCTCGTATCACATTGCCCACACGCTTCGACGACGTAGCTTCCACCACATTGCTTGCGCTGCATAGCTACTACGTCCACAGCACAATAACCTGCTGCTTTGGGTCCACGCTGGCTAGCATCTTTCCGTTCCTCCTTCTCCTCCTCCAGGAGCGACCCGGTCGCCAAGGAGCAGTGGTACGCGTACTGCGAGGCCTTCGGCAACAACATCAGGGACCCTTCAAAGCACGACATCACGTTCATCAACAGCTTCATCGCGCAGTACAACTCGGGCGCGCGGCTGGACTATAAGGAGGGCCAGGACCTCGCCAAGATGGTGAAGATGGGGCAGAGGAGGTCGCCAGCCTGGAAGAGCGTGTGGGAGATGTACACAGGCAGGAGACGCTCACTGCGCCCACCGATGCTCCTCCTCGTCCCCCACGGGAGACCAGTGGGGGAGGGGTGGAGGGTCTCACTGGTGGGTGTAACGAGCGTCCCCCAACAGCGCAGCGCCCGATAGACGGCAAGCCGAAGTTCGACCCATCGGTGCACAGCGTGGACACCTTGGAGGGCTTCTTCGATTTCATCGCGCAGATGGCGTTGTCCCAGTCGGGCCAAGGCGCAGCCATGAGCATGGCGATGTCGGGCGTCGGCATGACGGGCCTCGGCGGCGGCGGCAGCAGGGCCATAAAGTCTAGCTCGGACGATCCGCTGGTCCAGGCGGTCAAGGCCTTCCAGCGGCAGGGGCAGGAGCAAAAGGAGGCGTGGCACACCTTCTGCGACACCACGCTGGGCGGAAACCGCGACCCCGCCCGCCACGACTCGAGCACGCTGCAGCAGTTCTGCGCGATGCACGGGGTGAGTATGGACGTCGGCATGGGCGGCGGCATGGGCGGCGGCATGGGCATGGGCATGGGCATGGGGATGGGCATGGGCATGGGGGGCTTCGACGAGAACCCCGCGAAGAGGCAGAAGGTCGAGTCCAGCAATCCGATGGTCATGAAGGTGAAGGCCTTCCAGCGGCTGGGTCAGGAGCAGAAGGACGCCTGGCACACCTTCTGCGACTCCACGCTGGGCGGAAACCGCGACCCCGCCCGCCACGACGAGGCCACGCTGCAGCAGTTCTTGTCGATGCACGGGGTGTCCTGAGATGTTTCTATACGGGCTCTGCTGCACACGCCCGCAAATATCAACAGATCCCCTGCTTCTCCTCCTTTCCTCCTCCTCCTCCTCCTCTTCCCCCTCCTCCTCCCTCCTCCTCCCTCCTCGCTTAAGCCAACGCGCACCACCACCACCACCACCTCCTTCCTCCTCCCTCCTCCTCCTCCTCCTTCTCCTCCTCTCCACCATCCTTCCTCCTCTCTCCTTCCTCCTCATTCACCTCGGCCTCCTCCGCTGCCCCATTCGCTGTCCTCCTCCATCGCCTTTCTTCTGCAGTCCCCCTGTGCAGGGCGAGCCACACACGTCTACAAAAAGGAACAACCCTTTCCAGGAAGAGAAAAAAAACACAGACACAATGAATCGTCGACTCCCAGGAAAATATATGGGATACCATGGGAAGCGGGGGGAAGACGAAAACCCAGAAACTTATAAGAAAGTATGGAGAATCCTGGGATTAGTGTCGATTTATGTGTGTGTCCCGGGGCCCCTTCCAACATGCCGAGAGTCGCCCCAATGCGCAAAGGCACAGTGGCCAGCCCAGGAAAGGCGAAGCAGGCCTGGGGGCCCCATCGCACCCCTATACCCCTCCGAGGAGGCCCTGTCCGTATCAACACGGGCCCACCATTTCATGGCAGGTCCGAGGGCCCTGGCCCAGGAGCGATCCGAAGCAAAAAGAAGCTGGTGATGGTTTTCTTATTCATTGTTTGGCCGATCGGCGCAGGCCCTCGCCCCCCCCCCTCCCCCTTTCTGGAGTAGATCTTTGCTGCTTTTGGCGCCTGTTTCGAGCAGGCGGAGCCTCCCCCATAGGACGCACTGCTGCAAACAGTCGTATAAAGGAGAGGTCCGGAGCCCAACCCCCCCTTCCGCCCCAATCTTGAAGACTCGCCTAAGAAACGATCACGAGCACAAAGAACGACGCATGCGGCATGTGTGGAGCCACGTGCAAGACAGATTTGAGTGATGAGCTCACAGTGGGGTTCTTGTGTTACAGAACCTATCTACCTACCTACCTACCTGCCGCAGCGTTGAGACGGCCCCTCAAAGCACAGACAGAGGGCGAAGGAGAGGGCTCTGTAGCGCCAGGGCACGCAGGTGCAGCCACAATGGCCCTTACTTCCAGCAGCTGACGCAAGGCCTGCCCGTGCAATCGGAACCTCACCCGGCCCCCTTATCGACCCATACCAAAGATGCAGCGCCAGATCGCCCTGAGTAGGTGGGCCGCCAGAGCGGCAGGTTCAGCAAGTCTTGACACAAGCTACAATCCGTGACGCATTGGAGCCTGATCTGGACGTCCTGTACACGATCTCGACACCTGACAAGCAAAGTACGCGTGCAAGGACGGCGACAAACTGATCAATCTTTGGTATCCGCCCAATTCTAGATATATGGAGTCAGTTGTAGACCACCCAGACGAGCCGTTGCCCCCATCACTGTTGGGGTATCACTTACATCTGAATGGCAGTCAGTATTCAATTTCTGGCTCTCGCCGTAGCGACGCGCACCTTTCTCTGCACCGTTCCCTACAACTGTGTGCATGCATGGCGTCAGTTTTTCAACACGGGGCTTTCGCTCGAAATTGAGCTGATTGTCGCGGCAGCATCGGCAGTCCGTTTTCAAAGTCTGCGCGCATTCGTCCAGACATCTTCCCACATTTATGTGGATGGATTGAGGCAGGTTTTCTAAGATTGGGATCTCGTTTGGGACTCTCTTGCGATATACGGCGTGCATTTTGCTCTAAGCTTCTACTAGACAGTGGGTGGATGACGGGTCCCTCTCGTTTCTCTCGTGAGTTAGAACGTCATTCGCCCGACTCTAATCATCATCGCCCATGCGCAGTTCGGAACATATTATCGGGTTGTAACCGTGCAGTTCTTTGTGACCCTCGCCTTCCCAGCGCGGGCTCACCGTAGCTACACGAGTTTCGGTGGCCTTCGGCCCAACCCGCTTTCGTGCTTGTAATGTGGACCATCGGCCTTCTTGACGCGTCTGACGGTCTCTCGTCGAGCCTCTGGGCGAACTGTCTAGCGGTCGTTGGGGGGAACTCTCAAGGATTTTTGTTGGGGACTCTGGTGGGCCTCCTTCGGGGGCACCTCGGGGGGTCTCTTGGGGGCCTGTACGGGGTCTCGGGCCGGCCAATCTCGAAGGGGAGGCGTCTTGAGACCGAGGTAATTCATGTCATGGCCGGATGTAGTCCAGTGATTCTTGTCTCTGGGGCTGGCCTCGAGAGCCTCCGAGGCGGCCCGTGAGAGCGAGACACCCACGACCACTTCAGGATGGCCCCGGGGACCACACGAGGCATGCTGGACGTTCACATCCAAGCCACGACCCCCCGGCCTCGTCGAGTGGCACGCGACGCAGCGAGAGCGCCCGCGAATTCCGTGAGTTGGGAGCCCGCTGCGCTCGCTCTGTGCTTGCGGTCAGGAGCTTCGGCTTGGCGTGTCGCGCCGCGGGCTCGGGCCCACCACGCCTCGGCGCGATACGTCAGCCGTGGCCCCCCCCCCAGATTCCGAGCTTCGACGCCCCGAGCCGTTCGAAGCTCTCCCGCCCCACCGAGCGGAGCGACGCGCTGTCCGCTCGCAAGGCATCGTGCCATCGCCCGCGCCCGCGAGCCAGAGGTGCGTCCTCCCTGCCGCAGGGGGAACGGGGAGGGAGCAGTCGCCAGCGCAAGACCCTCGTGATCGCAACCGCGGGGAACAGCTCGCCAGAGCAATGCGACAGTGACCGGCGCCGCGGGGAGCAGCCCTCCTGAGCAATACGACCTCTCTCTCCCATCTCGTTGCTTCTCCCTGCGGGCGCCCTCCCCTGCCCATCCAGTGGTTCGAACACCCATCGCGCACAGCGTGTCGCTGGGGCCGCCGCGGCGAAACGCTAAGCAAAAGCTCCCGACCATACATCACTTTCGATGTCTGTTCATGGGAGCCTTGGGCGGCGACATTGAAATCAGCTTTTCCTGCATTTGGACCGCATTGGGACCGCATTTGGTTCTTCCTCCTGCTCCTCCTCCTCCTCGTTTTTCCTGTTATTATTCCTCCTCCTCCTCCTCCTCCCTCCTCCGCCTCGTTCTTGTCGTCTCCCTTGTTGCGAGGCGGCGAACCTCGTCAAATTCTGGTCCAAATCTAGTCCGAACCGGGCCCAAAGCGGACAGCCCCAGGGGCCACGCGGGCCCCCAGGGAGCGGACATCAACATCACTCCGTGTCAATGAGGACTTGGCACCGCCTGGGCGCGTGCACGTTTCTCGGCGAGGCGGGCGCCAGGAACTCTGGCCCACAGTCAAATATTCATCGTAAGGGGCGCAGGGATGCAGGGTTAAGTCGGGCCTGTCCCTCCACAGGAGGAATATTCAAAGATAGTCAAAACATAGTGTGGGGACGATTTTTTGAAGATTCTTTTGGTATTTTGGGGCATTGTCTTGGTATTTTCAATTTTTCGTCCGAAATCCCCCTGTAGGAGGACACGCCCGACCAAAATTTTGGTTACCCTTGCGTCCTTGCGTCTGCACCCCGTCCTTCGCGGTTCTCACCGGTCAGCCCTTCAGGGTTTTGGCAGTCCGCCGCCCCGAAGAGCCAACTTCGGCGTCCAAGGCCCTTGCGTCCTTACTGCCCGTCTTCAATACAGTCAACCCGTCTTAATAGTAAGGACGAGCGACTTTCCAAGGTGGGCCTGGCATTCTTCCTGTTCGGCCCGTCCTTGGCCGCTTTCGCTGGCCGCGCCCCGCCCGCAAAGTGCCGACATGGCCTTCCAAGGCCCTTGCATCCCCATCGTGCGTCCTTCTCCTACGGGAAGACTGTCGATTTTGGCTCCATCTTGGAGCATCTCGGGCCAGCTTGAAAAACAACGCGCGCGACCCCAAACAATGCACACGGGAAGTGCACGCCCGAGCGATTGCAACACAGAGGCGCTCGAGGGAGCTCTCCGCTCCGCGCCGCCGGCGGCACGGCACGGCGGCGGAGTGCCTCCTCTGCCCAGCTCCAGCGCGCCTCGCCGTGGTGGCAAGACTGCTTCGAGCTGCCGTGTGGAGTTGGAGCCACGGGCAGGGCCCGTGCACGGGACGGGAGGGCCTGGTGCGGAGTGAGTGGGAGTGCCCTGATTCGCCCGTGTTGAGGCGCAACACGTGCCGAGGTCAAAGCGGGCGTGCTAACCCGCGGCGTATCTGCTCGGCACGTGTGGGTCCACGTTTTGGCCAGCGTGTCGCGCCAAACGTACGTGTGCAGTCTACCTGTTGCGCTCCGTGACAACAATCTACGTGCTGCGTGTTGCGTATCGGGGCAGCTGAAAGAGTGAGGCGTGTGTGTGTGTGTGTGTGGGTGTGTGCGTGTTGTGTTTACCCTGTTCCTCCTCCAGCGGGCCCGCTTCAAAAGGAGCTGGCTTGGGCGCTGGCTCAGACACGCGGTGGCGGAAGTGGTACCTGCGACTAGGCGCCACGTGCCTCTGCCCGAGCCAGACCCTCCAAGCTGGCTTCCGTAGGAGACCGGCCTGGGATTGCCGAGCAGGGCGGCCTGGCTGCGGGACGCCCCCGTAGAGCCGCCGGGTTCGCCATGGCCGCGGGCGGTGAGGATGAGATGTGTGTGTGTGTGTGTGTGTGAGCGTGTGTGTATGTTGGGTTTACTCTGGTCCTCCTCCTCCTCCAGGATTTTCCGCGCGCTCCGCTTCGTCCTCCCGGTCCACGATCCAAGCACGTGGCAGCATACCCCGAAGAGTTCCCCTCCTGCTCCTCCTGGTCCTCCTCCCGCTCCTTCTCCACCTCTCCTGCCCCCCTCCCCCGTCCCTCTCCTCCCCCCCTCCTCCTCCCCCACCTCCCCCTCCCTGTTCGCCTAGTCAGATCCAGCGCCAAGAGTTTTTGGGCCCAAGCCTGCGCTGACCCGAGCCAGCGCCTCAGGCAGCAGCTCCTGTCTCGCTGTCTCGCGCCCGATCCTCGGCTGGCGACCATGGCGGACCAGATCAAGCAGATGCAGAGGAGCGGCCTTGCCTCCTCCTCTGCTTCCTCCTCCTCCTCCTCCTCCTCCTGTCCTCCTCCTCCTCCTCCTCCTGCCCATTCCCTTTCACTTCGTTTCCTGTCCTTCTCCTTTCCTTCTCTTTCCTCTCCTCCTTCCCCGATTAGGAGCGACCCGGTCGCCAAGGAGCAGTGGTACGCGTACTGCGAGGCCTTCGGCAACAACATCAGGGACCCGTCGAAGCACGACATCACGTTCATCAACAGCTTCATCGCGCAGTACAACTCGGGCGCGCGGCTGGACTATAAGGAGGGCCAGGACCTCGCCAAGATGGTGAAGGTGGGGCAGAGGAGGTCGCCAGCCTGGAAGAGCGTGTGGGAGATGTACACAGGCAGGAGACGCTCACTGCGCCCACCGATGCTCCTCATCCCCTTCCCCCTATCGCCCCTCGTCCCCCACGGGAGACCAGTGGGGGAGGGGTGGAGGATCTTACTGACGGGTGTAACGAGCGTCCCCCAACAGCGCAGCGCCCCATAGACGGCAAGCCGAAGTTCGACCCGTCGGTGCACAGCGTGGACACCTTGGAGGGCTTCTTCGACTTCATCGCGCAGATGGCGCTGGCTCAGTCGGGCCAAGGCGCGGCCATGAGCATGGCGATGTCGGGCGTCGGCATGACGGGCCTCGGCGGCGGCGGCAGCAGGGCCATAAAGTCTAGCTCGGACGATCCGCTGGTCCAGGCGGTCAAGGCCTTCCAGCGGCAGGGGCAGGAGCAGAAGGAGGCGTGGCACACCTTCTGCGACACCACGCTGGGCGGAAACCGCGACCCCGCCCGCCACGACTCGAGCACGCTGCAGCAGTTCTGCGCGATGCACGGGGTGAGTATGGACGTCGGCATGGGCGGCGGCATGGGCGGCGGCATGGGAGGCGGCATGGGCATGGGCATGGGGATGGGCATGGGCATGGGGGGCTTCGACGAGAACCCCGCGAAGAGGCAGAAGGTCGAGTCCAGCAATCCGATGGTCATGAAGGTGAAGGCCTTCCAGCGGCTGGGTCAGGAGCAGAAGGAGGCCTGGCACACCTTCTGCGACTCCACGCTGGGCGGAAACCGCGACCCCGCCCGCCACGACGAGGCCACGCTGCAGCAGTTCTTGTCGATGCACGGGGTGTTCTGAGATGCTTGGGGGCTTGGCTGCACACGCCCGAATATTGGTAAATGGCCTCTGCTGCTCCCCTCCCCCTCCACCTCATCCTCATCCGCCGACCCCCGCCATCCTATTCCCCAATCCCCTGCAAGCAAGTTCCTCCGAACAGCTTCGCTTGCAGTGGAGGCCCATGCCAAGACACGCCCTGCTTGCAGCCAGGGTGCCCTGGGTTTCTTGGGTTCCGACGGTTACTGCGACGGAGCGCGTGACGTGCCCACGCCAAACATCAGTGGAAGTCCTGGGGTCTCAGGGTTGGGTCTCTTGCGGAAGGCTTCTCTTGCGGACTGGCCTCCGCTGCGCGGAGGGGGGGCCAGTCTCCAGCTCCTGGCTTCGGCCGCAGCGCCGCGCACGCTCGTCCGAGCGGCCAGCTCTCTTGTGGCTGCACGGGCGCAGGGCGTGGCCCTGCCTTCGGACTCTGGGGCCTTTCGCTGGACTGCCGTCGACGGGCTCCCAGAGGCAGGACCCGAACGCCTGAAGCTCCCTGGGAGCTGCGGTCAACCCGCGCAGTCAGGCTAGGCATCCTTCCCAAGGGGTGCCCTGGCATCCTTGCCCCCTCTTCGGCCCGCCCTTCGCGACGTTCGCGCGGGCCAGCCTCGCTGGACAAACGTTCACCTGGCCCTCCAAGGCCCTTGCATCTGTACCGTGCATCCTGATGATGCGGGTTGACTGTGCGGTCGGACAGGGGTATATGTGATCGAGGTCGGTTTGGGGGAGGGTGCCCTCGTATTCTTCGTGTCTGTCGCATGCTCTTGTGCATCCCGGGGGAGGGTGCCCCCGAACGTGCTCCAGTGAGGCCAGCGGGGGGTCTCGTGTTCTTGAAGGATGTGCTTCTGTCCTCGGTCTGGCCGTGCGTGGATGGAGGGCGCCCCGCTCCGTTCTTCTCACCGACCGCCCGTGAGAGTGGCCTTTCGCTGACCTCTGGTGCGGGCCCAACAGGGCCCCCCGCTCGCCGACCGCGAGGCGATGGCAGCGTCCTGCGCGCCCGGGTGGTGTCCCCAGAGTGCCCCCCCGTGGCCGCGCGGCAGGAGGTCACTCTTGCCCAGGGCCACTCTTTGCGTGCAGCCGACTTCAAGCCTTCTGGTGTTCCAACCTATATTTTAGCCTTGACCACCAGAATGAATTTCGGGCACCAGGAAAACACCCCCAACATCGAGGGTTTTCACGTGTCGGGCCCTGGGAGACACTCTTTCGACACTGCTTCGACACTCTTTCGACACTCTTCTGGGTGCTCGAAAATACTTCTGGGATGTGGTCCCTAAGTGCGATGGGAGCAACATAATTCAAGCCCGGATCTCGCCCGGGCGCCGCGCAGCACTCGCCTTCACGGCTCTTCCCACAGCTCCATGGAGGGAGGGCTCAGTTTTTGTTGGTCCCCCGGGTGTTCTTTTTCTGACGGGCGAGCCAGTTTCCGAAAGTTGGGTTGCTACTCTTGTCTCGCTTTCCATTTTGAGGGCCTCCTGGGAGGCCCTCGTCGCCACAGCTGGATTCGCCTCGAACTTCTGGTCAGAACCCCACCCCAGGAGTGGTCCGGGGAGTAGCAGTATTGGTACCTCTTGGTTTCACCAGTTTTTGCACGTGCAGTGATGGATGGCTGTTTAGTTGACAAGGTCGTTCTGTCGCCTTGAGGGTCTTGCCGTTGTGTGTTGCTGGTGCTTGACTTGTCCAACCGCTGCACAGGTTTCAGGGTGGCCCGTGTTTGTGAGTCTGGCTCTGGCTCGAGGCTCCCGTCCCGTACGTCTAGGATCCGAGACATGGGACGGGAGAGTGTGTTGCAGAATGAGTGGTGTCTGTGTTGGCTTTACTTTGGTCCTCGTTCTCCCTTGCCCCAGTCCTCTATCTCGCCTCTCTCGTCCCTCGTCTCCTTGCCCCCCTCCTCCCCCTCACCCTCTCCCTCCCCTTTCCTTGGACCTGCCTCGGAGGCAGGCCACCTTCATAGTCCTAGTCCTGGGGAACAGAGAGTGACGTAAACATACACGCTGGTCGTTCAAAGTAGGTATTTCTGGCTTCCCAGATCCCAATCTACTTCAAGCGCCTTCCTACTTCAAGAACCGATACGCTTTTTCTGTGGTTTGTTTTTCTCTGGGAGGTCCTGAACCAATCTACTTGATCCGCCTTCCTACTTCATGTTTTTACGTACTTCTTCCGACCGGCGTGTAAACATAAACTTTCGGCGCTCCGCACGAATTTCCCGGACCGGCGCTGGACCCCCCTCCCTGGCGTGCGGATCGCGCCGGGGGTGGCGCCGGAGCCGCCGCCAGGGCGGCCCAGGCGCCGATCCGAGGAATCTGCGCGGGCCTGCGACAGTGTATGTTAACGTAAGTGCTTGCCCCCATGTCCTACAGTGAGCGGCTTGAATAAGGAGTACTTGGTTTTCAAAAGGGGCTCGGTCGTTCCTTAGGCTTGCATGCGTTATTTTTCGTTCCTGATGTGTTGTGTATTACTTACCGTTCCTGATGCGTTACTTTTCCCCTGGGTAAAAAGGGGCTTCGTTTCTTACTTATCGTTCCTTAAGTCAGGTCGATGACTGTAGTCCCCCTTCGCTTCCCCCCCAATCAGGTGCAGCGCGAAGCCATTTTGGCGCAAGCCGGTGCCCCTGGCAGCAGTTCCCAGTCTCACGTGGGGTTGGCGTCCGCTCTTCGGAAGGTGGCCATGGCGGACCAGATCAAGCAGATGCAGAGGAGCGGTCCCGCTTCGCCCTGCTCCTCGGCTTCCTTCTTCTCCTCCTGCCCCTTCCCTTTCACTTCGTTTCCTGTCCTTCTCCTTTCCTTCTCTTTTCGCCCCTCCCCCAATTAGGAGCGACCCGGTCGCCAAGGAGCAGTGGTACGCGTACTGCGAGGCCTTCGGCAACAACATCAGGGACCCGGCGAAGCACGACATCACGTTCATCAACAGCTTCATCGCGCAGTACAACTCGGGCGCGCGGCTGGACTATAAGGAGGGCCAGGACCTCGCCAAGATGGTGAAGGTGGGGCAGAGGAGGTCGCCGGCCTGGAAGAGCGTGTGGGAGATGTACACAGGCAGGAGACGCTCACTGCGCCCACCGATGCTCCTCCTCCCCTTCCCCCTATCGCCCCTCGCTCCAAGCGGGAGACCAGTGGGGGAGGGGTGGAGGATCTTACTGACGGGTGTAACGAGCGTCCCCCAACAGCGCAGCGCCCCATAGACGGCAAGCCGAAGTTCGACCCGTCGGTGCACAGCGTGGACACCTTGGAGGGCTTCTTCGACTTCATCGCGCAGATGGCGCTCGCACAGTCGGGCCAAGGCGCGGCCATGAGCATGGCGATGTCGGGCGTCGGCATGACGGGCCTCGGCGGCGGCGGCAGCAGGGCCATGCAGTCTAGCCCTGACGATCCGCTTGTCCAGGCGGTCAAGGCCTTCCAGCGGCAGGGGCAGGAGCAGAAGGAGGCCTGGCACACCTTCTGCGACACCACGCTGGGCGGAAACCGCGACCCCGCCCGCCACGACTCGAGCACGCTGCAGCAGTTCTGCGCGATGCACGGGGTGAGCATGGACGTCGGCATGGGCGGGGGCATGGGCGGCGGTATGGGCGGCGGCATGGGGATGGGCATGGGCATGGGCATGGGCATGGGAGGCTTCGACGAGAACCCCGCGAAGAGGCAGAAGGTCGAGTCCAACAATCCGATGGTCCTGAAGGTGAAGGCCTTCCAGCGGCTGGGTCAGGAGCAGAAGGAGGCCTGGCACACCTTCTGCGACTCCACGCTGGGCGGAAACCGCGACCCCGCCCGCCACGACGAGGCCACGCTGCAGCAGTTCTTGTCGATGCACGGGGTCTCCTGAGATGTTTAGAGGCTTGGCTGTAAACGCCGAGATGCGTCGGCTGTGCTCACCTTCCACCACTTCCCCTACTCCTCCGCCGCCCCCTCTCGGTCCTCCCTCCTCGTCTGCCAGCGCTCCTCCTGCTCCTACTCCACCTCCTCGTCCTGCCCATCGCCCTTTCGTCGTCGCCCTCCTCTTCCTCCCGCCGTCCTTCTCCTTTCCTCGCTCCCCCTCCCCTTTCCCTCCCCCTCCCCTGCTCCTGCTCCCTCCTCCTCCTCCTCTCTCCTCCTCCTCCTCCTCCTCCTCCTCCTCCTCCTCCTCCTCCTTCCTCCATCTCCTCCTCCTCCTCCTCCTCCATCTCCTCCTCCATGCTCTTCCTCCTCCATCTCCTCCTCCGTCCTCCCTGTGCTCCTCGAGCTCTCGCCCCCTCCCCCCCCCGGATCGCGGCAGGGAGCCCGCGCCGCGGGAGGCCAATGGATACAAAAGGAGGGGCGCTACGGCGGGACTTTCTGTCTAGCGGTGCTTGCGGCGGGGCCGCCGCGCGGTGGGGCGCCTGCCTGCGCAAGGGCGCGGCCGGGAGGGGAGGCGACGAGCCAGGGGGGAGGCGGAGGCGGCGGTGGAGGGAGGGAGGAGGGGAAATGAAGGGGGAGGAGGAAGGGTGGCGGGAGGGGGGGCGGGAGATGAAGGGAGGGAGGGAGGAGGGAAGGAGGGAGGGGGGGAGGAAGGAGGCAGGGAGGAGGGAGGGGGAAGGGAGGGGAGGAAGGAGGGAGGAGGGAGGGGAGGGGAGGGGGAGGGAGGAGGTGGAAGAGGAGGAAGGGGCGGATGATGATGCTGCTGCTGCTGATGATGATGATGATTATGATGCTGATGCTGATGCTGCTGCTGCTGCTGCTGCTGCTGATGATGATGATGATGATGATGATGATGATGATGATGGTGATGGTGATGGTGATGATGATGCTGATGCTGATGCTGATGCTGATGCTGATGCTGCTGCTGATGATGCCGCTGATGATGCTGCTGATGCTGATGCCGACGATGATGATGCTGATGATGATGATGACGATGATGATGATGATGCTACTGAGGATGATGCGGATGATGAGGAGGACGATGCTGATGATGATGAGGGCAGTGAGTGCGATGATGATAACGCTGGTAATGCTGAGGCTGATTATGCCGCTGTTGATAATGAGACTAATGATGATGCTGCTGATGATGATGATGGTAAGACAACTCATGACGATGCTGA